GGAGACTAGGAATGAGAAGTCTGGATTACCTTGTTCACAACGCTTGGTCTCTCCGAGACTCCCTCAGGCATGCTCGTCACCTGGCGGACCCCCACCGACTGACGAGACACTCGCTCTCAGCCAGGTACGCGGCCTACCCATCTAAGTCAGCACTTCCAGCAGGGCAGGGGCGACAGCCCCGTTGCGTACCGTGCAACACTACAGGTAATATTTCTTCTGCTGGACCCTGCCCAGGGACCTCTCTGTTGATTTGTTTTTTTAGATTTTTGAATCCTAAATACCCTTTTTAGTTCAACCGTGAATTAGGAAAATACAAAAAAATCAACAACAAAGAAACACAAAAAATCAACTGTGTTGTGCGTTTGCAAGCCATGCATTAGATTCAAGGTTACCAAGCCATGGCACCTTTCGGGAGCGAGTAGGCAAACCCCTGTGTCGTACATATTTGTATCTTACCCTGAAAATATTTCCATTTTTCCGGTGACGACGTTGGAGTAGGTAGGTCGCTGCGACTGTCCTTCTCCAGCGACACAACAGTCAAAAGCTCGGCTCGCGCAACAATGCGGTGCGGCTCGGCTCGGCGGTAAACGCTTGTAATTTGCAGTAAGTGTCGGCGGCGCGGCGCGCTGGACGTGACAGCGGCCAGATGGACGGAGCCCACCTGCTGCGTGTCATCAGCCAACGAGGTGGAGTTTAAGATTCGAAATTCTTTCTTGTGGAGCAACAGACGCCGTATGTAGTATCGCCCTTGCCTTGCCTAACCTCCGAGCTAACCTCAGAGGCCCGGTCCGCCTGCTACCGGTTGGAGTAGAGTACCGCACCCGCCTGCCCGCCAGGATCGCACCCTCGAGGCCCCGGGGCTCGTCGAGGGCCCTTCGGAGAGAACCTCCCCGGCAGGCCTGCCTGGTCGGCGTGGCACATCATGCTCCCCTTGTCCTCGGGGCACGCGTGCGTGCGCCTCTCAGTGCAGTACGGTTTTGGGATTCTCGTGAGATTAAGATTCCATCAGTTTGCTTCTTCACACCCTGATTCTTCTTTCTCAAATTTCTCCCCTTCCCCATCCCTTTCACAACTCTGCAGGGCTTCCCTCATTACCCCACCCCCTTCCCCATCATCTTGTGCAGCCCCCTCAACTTTTATATCCATCCCCAACTTTGCCGTGCCTGCCGTTTCCAACAGACCCTTTTACATTTTCTCTCTTTTTTTTCGGAAACTCTCATCAAGATTTTTGAATACTTGAATAAACTTTACACACTCCCTCTACATTATTTTTCTTCGTAGTGTAATTATTATGGGACGCTACAGCAGTTGAGCTCTTCCTGTGCCGCTGAAAGTGATTCTTAACAGCCGCGCTCCACGTTACATTTTTTGAGCGGTACACTAGAGTGTGGGGGACTTGACGGTACGCGTTCAACTTAGCGCCGGCAATAGTTTGAACTCCATCAGCGTGCTTATCTAATCCTAAATAATCTCACCCCCACAGGCCCGGGGCCCTGGGGCGACTCCTCTAATTCTTTTTCTCGCCTTTGATCCAGTCCGGAGGGGAGGCTGCTGTGCCGCCGCTGCAGGCCGAGCTTTCGGCTTTCGCTCGCCTCTCTGCCACCCCGCTCTGCCGTGAATTCAATTATGTCCGCCCCCTGCCCCTCCAACCCCCTCT